CCGCCCCCCGCACGCCCCGCGGCCTCGACGCGGGTGACGGTGGCGCGGCCCTCCCGGACCGCACTGGGTGAAACCCACCGCTGTTGTAACCGCCCTTTCTTTCCAGCTGCCCCGCTTTATTCATTGTTGTGCTGCTTCTAAATTTTAACCCCTCCCCTCCTTCTTCTCTAGGATCCTGCTGGGATTTTTGAGCTGGTGGAAGTGGTTGGAAATGGCACCTATGGACAAGTCTATAAGGTCGGTGTGGGGTGCCTTCTTTGTTTCCCATGTTGAAACTTCTGGTTGGGGGACGAGGAAAAGGGTGATAAACACGCTGTTGACTGGAGGCCGTGCCACTTGCCCAAAGTTGGGGAAAGGCTTTTCAAACGCCTTGCATGCAGCCCCTGTTTTTAAACAGAATTTATATTCAAGACTGGCCTGCAGAAGACCTCATTTCCTGGCTTTGAGATAGGGAAATAAGCTACACTCTTAGGCATGCACTTTTCTTCAATAAAATGGGAAGGCATTTTTCAAAAGACAAGCTTCATTTTTTTTTTTCCCCCCAAATTTGGCCTTCTGAGTTTGTGCATTCATTAAAATTCAGTATGGACAGGCCTTGTCTATGATTATCCTAAACCACTGCCTTGGCCTTCTTGAAAATCGTCATAGTCTTTCTGTGTTTGAATGCTAGCCAAGCGCTCAAGGTGCGGAGTTTGGGTTACCTGCAACTACTTTTTATAACTCTTGTCTATCATACGTTCTACTGATAGATACATGTTTTGGGAAAGCAGGGAGGGGTGTGTGTTTGGGCAACAGGAGCAGGGAGAATTACAGTGTGAGGATTATAAAATCTGAATTCCAGGAATAACCTGTTTGACAGGTGTGTAATTGAAACAGAAATGAGGGAGAGCTAAGAGTAAAGAGGATGCCCAGATTTCACACCCACCCTAGGTCTTTCTCTTTCTGAACACCCACCCTCCAGCTGTAAATGAAACTAACAGACCTGGAGGCTGAGTCGCCCTGAGTAGTTGACGCCTGATGTGACTAAGTGCTGTCCCTTTTATCCACTGCACGTTCTGGAGATTCACAAAGCTGTAGGTAATGGAGGCACAGGCCTTGAAATTTTGCAACAGAATGTTAAATCCTCCCTGTCCTCGTTTGTTTCTTATTACTAAACATTTTCTAAAAGTTTCTGCACTGGTGATGTTCATAGCTGTTAAGAGTGAGTACAAGGTTGGCTTAGAAAAAAATAATCTTATAAAACGGGCTTTGTATTTCACCATGAAAAATTGTCATTGTTTCATTAAAAATGTGTGTTTGTGGGGGGAAGCTTACTGTAGACTTTCTTAGGCCGAATCAAGTTCTATTGTCTCCTTTCTGCTTTATGAATAGGGTTTATCTGTCACTTCAGCCCTCTTCTCTGTCCCAACTTCCCTTGGCCTGTGGTCAGAACCTGAGTCTGTATTCTTAGGTGATGGCAAGTGAATTAGCAAGTGTTTTGTTGGTTAACAGTTGGGGCTGGGGCCAGATTTTTGAATTTGAAAGGGAGCCCTGTTAACTCAGTTTGCTGGGCTCTACTGAATTTGGAAGGCTTTGGAAAATTTTGGAAAAGATTGTGTTGCAACTCAATGAGTGGCCTGGTAACTGGCTTAAACACATTCTCCTTAGCCCCAGTGTTTGTTTAGCACCAGTTGGTTTTTTCTAGCCCAGTTTTTCTGGCCAAATCCTAAGTGGTGAGTGTCCTCTTCCAAGTGAGTTAACCAAAGCTTGTTTTTGACCTGGTTGGTTACACAGTAGATGGATTGTTTGTATCTTCTTTGGTCAGCCTGGATGTGGAAAGCAGTGAAGTAAAGGGGAGCCAATAATATGTTTTTTTTTTTTTTAATGAGGAAAAGAAAGGCAACTCAAATGTGGATAATCGATTGTAATAAGGGGAAGCCCTTGGTGGTGTCAGTTAGGGCAGGTTCATTGTTTTTTTTTCCTCCTTCACTTCCTCTTTTCTTCCATCTCCTCTTTGCTCCCACACTTTTGAAGCAGAGTTGCTGAGGACTTTTGGGAAGTAGTATGTGGGATACTGGCAGTGATACAGCATTACTACAAAGTTTCTACAGTACAGTAATTCTTTAATCTCTTAAAGAATTAAGATAAACTGTTCAAGGGTGCATACTATCCTGAACAAAACAGTGTCAGAGATTTTGTTCACAAGCAGTTCTGTCTTACTGTCATGGAACTTTTCAGACATACTTTCTCACTGTGGATGTTGTTTCAAATAAACAGGGAGCGAGTACATGACCCGGCTTAACCAGCAGCATGTAACTCATTCTGGTTCATCTGTAGTCTTCCTCCCTGTATTATCTTAATGTAAATCCTAGAGAACATTTTACCCACAAATACTTAGCATCTCTCTCTCTCTCTTTTTTTTTTTTTTGGTTTGGTGATTGTTTCTTAGATAATCACCATATTCTTACCTTACCTGAAGAAAAATTCTTTAATATCAGATATTCAGTGCTAACTTTTTCCTGATTGTCTCATAGATGATTTTACTATCACAAGTTCTCTAATACTATTGAGTTGATTCTGGGACATTTAGTCTTAGAAGTGATGGAAATAGAGAGTTAATGTCTTTATTTTCTTTCCTCTTTAAATATATGATTTTTAAAACCATTTACATCTAAGTTTATTTTGGATTTTTGTTGACATGATTTACATACAGTCATTTGGGGTAAAGATTAATACTCTAGCATTTGTTTATGGCTGCTAGACCTTCATTAATGTGAATGACATCAGTTTGAAGAATATTTGTAACTAATGTTACTTACAACGAAGTTTTTTTTTTTAAGTCTGGTAAACCACCTATAAGGTGAAGCTGAAGTTCTAATACATTTTTTTAACTATTGTTAAATTTATAAGTACTCTTATAGCTTAAAATTATTGTATTTTCTAGAACTTTTCATTTTGTAGTGATAGTTTAGCATATTTTTTGAGAATGTGAAATAAATCAGTTGAGAAGATGGGAGCTTTGACATGTTCTATGGGAATGGCTATTTGGAGGGATAGTGTATTTCCTTATTTCTGGTAAAAATTATAACTAGATAGTTGAGCAGTATATTATCTTAAAAAGAGGAATTTAAGCATAAAGTGTAGTCTTTTTTGAGAAAGTTATTTTTTGCCTTCGACTTTTGAGGAAGCCATATAGAATGTTTATATATTAACTTAAGGAAATATTGTTAATTTGTTCACAAGGTTTTATTAGGGAGTCATATTTATAAAACAAGTGCCTATGTATACTATATAAAGTGTGTATAAATATAGTATATATAGTACAGTATTATTGTGCATGTTGAGTAAATATGGTGACTATTGTTTTCATTAAAGGGAACCATGATTGTGTAAACAATTGAAACCAGAATATATTGGGTTTTTTGTATGTTGTATTGGATTTTACTGTTTTTAGTATTTATTTAACTACTTTTATTTTTTCGTGGAGTAACTACTTGTAGTTTTGTATTTTGCAAGCATACAGTGGTTGGTGTTTCCAAATGCCTTGTCTAGGAGAAGGGAAATCGTGCTGCTGGAAAGGCACTGTGTAGGGGTCATTGGGAGAAATTAGGGAGTTAAGAATCCTATGGTATAGTGTCTGGAGTCAGCTTACTGATGGGACTGTAGTCTGTGGAAAATTGAGCACCTAGATCCTGTCTGATCCTGACCTTGAATGAAAGGAGGCTGTAGGCCTAGGAGGTTGAGGATGAGGATGAGCATGCTAGACTCAAGACCTAGATGATAAGGAGAGCTAACACTGAGAACTTGCCACCTGGTAGGAACTGTGCTAGTACTGTAAGATTGTCCCCCTTCTTGAAGAAGGATGGGGAGAGAAGGGTGGGTGTGCAGGAGAGAGAGAGGGTAACTTGGTAATGGCAGGAAGTGTAAGGGATAGGAAATGTTGGGGTGAGGTTAACTGGGCATGCGTTGAGGAGGGACTTCATTCCTTGAGCATTTAGGAGCCATTGAGAGTTTTGTTGGGACTGAAGAAGAGTTATGATGTTTGGCAGTGGTCCAGAAGAGACAAAGTGGCGGTGGCCATAAAGAGGAAGAGTGTTGGTGAATTCTTGGACCTGTCTCCTTGCTAAGTTTAACCTACAGTTCATTCACTCTCTGTAGACTTTGGTGTGGCCCTTTTAATGGGTATAAATGTTTGCCTACTGGATTAGGAGGAGCTTTATTATTTGTGAAAGTGCTAAAATTACTTTCAATTGCTTGGCTGTGAAGTGCCATATAAATTGTTTGGCTTTTAAAAATCATTAGTCTCTAACATTATGGGAATAAGCTCTTAAATTTTTGTGAGTTTTCTTTCAATTTTTTTTTTTTTTTAAGATTTATTTATTTGTGCATACAGAACTGGGGTTACAGGCCAGAGGCTCAGGAGTGGCGAGAGGCTTCACCAGAGACAGAGTGGGGAGCAGAACAGGAAGATTGACGAAGTACACTGCTGAGGGGAGCAGCGGGCGGGTCAGGAGAGGTCTGCCACGCCACGTGGTCACCTCCCAGGGCAGGCGGGAATCGAACTCATGCGGAAGTGGCTTTAGCTTCTTAGTGCTGTGCTTTAACCCGCTGCGCCACCAGGGAGGGCCCTCTCTCAGTGTTTTTAAGTGTAGCATCCATTGTCTTAACTGGAGGTAAAGATGTCCAGTGGGGCCAAGTGAATTTTGTGGAATTAGGGGTTTTCATTAGGAGGAAGGTTGACCTGCTGCTGAGTGGCATGTACAGACTTGTTCTGAAAAAGAGTTCCTTCTTGCTGGAAGGATTCTGGACTCAAAGTGGGAGGAAGCCAGCCCTGTTGAATGTGTGTTAATATGTTGCTCTCCTAAAAAATAACCCCAAATAGCGCTTCTTGGCCTTTTGGCTAAGATCGAGTATAAAAAATAACCCCAAACTTCCAAAAGCTGCTTTGCAATTACACTAAGGAATATTAAAAACCTTACAGAAAATCTAACTACTAGATAAAACCCTGCTGATGAAGGGTTTTTAATTCCTTATTGCTTAAAACGTAATTCCTTATTGCTTAATATGGTTCAGTTGCATAACTGCAAACCTGTATTTTGCCTTTTTTAAAAAATGAATTTTGGATATATGTATATTTCTACATGTGGATACAATCCAAAAATATTATCTGGGGGCACTTGTAGTGTAGAGTAGGTGTCTAGATTTTTGTGGACTGATCCTTGAAGAACAAAGATGTTTTTTGAAATAATACAGCCTAC